AACGAAACTGAGTGCATGAAGGTGAATTCTCTCTCCTTGATAAACATAAACCTAAATAATACATCAAGGTACAGGTAAGATACACACAAACACATGCAAGTGAGACAGAGATGTACAATATAAAACTAATACATAATCACATTTCTAAGACAATGCTGGTCTTGATTCAGTGATGGTTACATACTTTCACTGACAGCTCCCTTTGTGACAAAAGATATGAAACAATAACAAGTAATAAACATTTAGCAAAACATAGCAAGTCATTAAATATGCTACTTAAAAAAATGTTCATCTTGTCTTAGATTGGGGGCACCCTCGTGAGTTACATGGATGGGTGCTGCAAGACATGTGAGTACAGAAATTACATTCTTTTGTTCATTTCTGCTCTTGTTATAACAAGAAACATGGGTAATGTTAATATTTAAAACATTCATCTGTTTCTTTCACAAGTTTTTTGCACTCAGTATGTATGAATGAAAACAAGAGACATGGCACAGGACTTTTGTTCTGTACCAGCAAGGTAAAGAGCAAAATTCATAAACCTAAACATAAAAACAATAAATCCTGGGAACAATCGAGAATTCATTTTTTCACTGAAAAGAAAAGTAAAAGCACTGACATGCACACAACAGCAAAAAGTTCATTTCTTGCATCAGGCTGAGTGTAACGTTGTGTAACAATCTCTCCAGGCGCTGCAAACTCCCTGTTCCCCTTCTCTGTTAGCCCTTTGAAACCCACAGTTAGCACAAACTGTGAACAAGGTACCTGATACTAACATCAGACCTCAAGGCTCGCCATCACCATTGTTGATTTCCAACAATGTACTCCCCCTATTCAAACAATACAGGACTCTCAACAGATTCGAATTTAACTGCTCATTGAAGTCATTTATTCCTCTAGTCACTTTTCTCCCAGATGTTTCTTGGAAGCAGCTAAATCTTTCCCCATTTTGCGCCGTCGGGCAGTGCATTGTTGATTGCCAACAATGTACTGTTGGTAGTGGCCTGTTAGAGAGTTTCTGTAGCTCTGCATGATTCAGAGTGCTTAGGTTGTAGCATCTAATCACATAGTATGTGTAGTTTGTGGTAATGGGGTGTTTGGTAATGTTTTGGGTGATATGGCAACATTAGCAATACAAAGCATTTTCCACATCTGTTGTCTCCTTCCAGTGCCACATTACTCAAACCATTACAGCTTCTGCTCACTACTGACATATATACGTTTTATTGGAAAATCAAGTATTGGGGCTCATTTGGGTCTTTTTTTTTTTATTTATTTTGAGGTGGTGGAACGACACTGATCTTGAGTACAAGTAAATTCAAATGTATCACTTATTTTCAGTAGATGAGTAGTTTTATAGTGATTACGTTTTTATCAGCTAAGTGGGGAAAGAATAGTATTATTTCCACTGTCAGTTATACATTACAAGAAAAAGTTGTTAAAGGGGTCATATGATGCGATTTCAAGTTTTCCAAGCTGTTCGTGAATAAATAAGATCCCTAAAGTTGCAAAGACTAAAGTCTCAAACCCAATGAGATATTCTTTATAAAAGTTAAGACTCGTCCACGCCCTCCTAAAACGGCTCGTTTTATGGTGTCACAATGTGGGAAGATTTGCATAACGCCGCCCAAATGTTCACGCAAAGAAAGAAGGCGTAACTTTATTGTTGCTGCCACCGCCGCCGCCATGTTGTGAAGACGCTGTGTGTTTCGTTGCGAAAACGAAAATACTTTGTTTGGCCTTCCAAAAGAGGACACGACTAGAAATCAGTGCTTAAGTTGTATTTACAACACTGTTCCAGAACACTTCAATCCAAATATTCAGATGTGTGCAGCGCATTTTATGGAGGACTGTTTCCTGATCCTGGTAGAGTAGACTACAATGCCGGCTGTTCTGACTGTAAGTACGTTTTCATATTTAAAGGATCACAAAGCATCACAGTATGGTAAGGGGCGTAACATTTCCGTCACATGCTTGAGGTATTCGGTCAATCACAATGCACCGGATAGCTGGCCAATCAGAGCACACCTTGCTTTTCAGACCGATGAGCTTTGTAAAAATCGACGCGTTTCAGAAAGGCGGGGCATAGAGGAGAAACAATAATGTACAGTATGTGGAAAATAATGTGTTTTTTTAACCTTAAACCGCATAAACACATTTCATTACACCAAATACACAAAATAATGTTCTTTTTAGCAGCATCATATGACCCCTTTAAAATCTTGCAAAGTTAAAAGTTAAAGCCTTCACTCTAAGAGGAGGATGAAAAAGGTGAACCATAAAATCTATTAAACAAAGTCTGTTTACCGTTCATACTATACATTTTTATTGAATTGGAAAATTAATGTAGCATAATCATCCTGCTATAAGATGCAGTAATGAACCAGATTAAAATAGTCCAATAATGCATAATCAAGCACGTGCTGAATGCCAAGATTACTTTAGAACTTGAGGCAAAGCCATCCAGTGATGTCACTTAAAGTGGCATCCCTGCAGTGTTCTTGAGCAATGCACTGTTGTCGATAACTTTTCATCACCCAAACTGACGGTAAGCAATTCAATCATTTAAACATCATTTTAGCTACAGGAAGTCAAGCAATTAACAAGCAAATAAATGAGAATCTAATCCTAACATAGTGAGAGCAGAAGTTATTGAATGAATTAGAACTGTCACACAGGATGAAAAAGATCATTCATTGACTTCTCATGCTGTAGGTAAAGAGGACGGCAAGTCATGTCAGAAAGTGACAGTAAGGATGACAATTAGAAAGAATGATTGCCGTAGTAACAGACCGGTGAGTTCATTTCAGAATATACCTATTATAATCTGGCTTTAATTAGGCTGTAAACTGGTTTACAGGTCATGTTCATGTTCACAGGTCAACATAGTGTCATGTGCTGGAAAGTGAATGAATTAGAACTGTCACACAGGATGAAAAAGATCATTCATTGACTTCTCATGCTGTAGGTAAAGAGGACGGCAAGTCATGTCAGAAAGTGACAGTAAGGATGACAATTAGAAAGAATGATTGCCGTAGTAACAGACCGGTGAGTTCATTTCAGAATATACCTATTATAATCTGGCTTTAATTAGGCTGTAAACTGGTTTACAGGTCATGTTCATGTTCACAGGTCAACATAGTGTCATGTGATGGAAAGTGTCCATCTGCAAGTATTTACAACTACAACATCAACACGTATGCACGCTTTTGTAAGTGCTGCAGAGAGATGGGGCTGCAGCGGCGTTCAGTCCAACTCTACTGCAGTGGAAACTCCACGTGGGTTAATTACACCATACAGGAACCGACGGACTGTTCCTGCCAGTGGTCATAAACCCTAAACCATAACAACAGAAAGTGTTACTTATCATTCAACTTGAACATTAAGGACCATAAAATCTGAAGTTTAAATATAGTGTTGTAAAGTTTTTCTATATTTCACAGTGCAGAATATACTGTTTGTTCTATCAAAATTCTCAAATATTTCAGAAAATGTTATAAATTGGCTGGCTGCATGTTTGAAGTGTAAGCAATATAGAAGCATATGAATCCAACAGCAACAGTAATAATACTAGCTATGTGCTCCTGATCAGTATATATGGAATTCTACCACAGAGCCCACTGAAATAAAGATTTACTAATTGTATTTAGATGCTTTTCTACAGGTAATGTTACTTCTTAATGATCTGAATATTATGTGATTTGACATGTTATATAACAATCACATGTTTATTGAATAATTGACCTTATGCTGTATTTTGAGCACTTTATTATTTATTACCATATAAGAGCAATTGCTTCACTCAAAATACAAGATTTTTTAAACGTACGGTATGAATTATATGTGGCTTTGATCTATGGAGCACTTCAGCTGATGCAGAATAATTGTTTATCTTTGTGATCTGGTGTAAATTATTGCAAAGGCAATGTAAAATTGCTTTATATGGTATGGCACATTTTAGAACAGCTTTAGATTGTTTTTGCGAGATACGTATATAGACATAAAACTGAATATGTGAAGTTCCTGTTTTTATATCTGTGTCCACAGTATTGCAATGCTGCATCAATAAAATGCAAAGGGGCGGTCTTAATGAATACCTCTGTATAGACTGAAATATTTTATAGAATTAAATATTCTACATGGAGCCCTCTTTAGGTTCTTGGTTTAACATTTTACCTGCTGAAAAATTGCTCAATACATAATATGCTTAGTTTTTAATTGTGTACTATACTATATGTATATTTCCATTTTCAATAAAAAAATTCTTACAAAAAACTTTTTAAAAACTGTAGAGTTTCTATTTGTGTTTGAGTTTTAATCAGTGCATATTATATCTGACTTTTTACATTTTTCAAAACTGCCGTTTCAATGGTTTCTGGATGTTCTAGTAGGCATGTGTCGGCTCCTGCTGGTGCACTTTTTCAACCAACATGTCAACTAGTATTTATTTTTGGAGGCTTCTTAAAGACATTGTTTTTCTTGTCTGCTTCCCTTTATGTGGTGCTATCAGCCAATCACTGTTGTCATTGTTTTTCAAGCTTCAGTGTAATACGTGTTATATTCGACTCATTGGCTTAAAACCTGTCAAGAACCAAGATTTTGAAAATTTTAACTGTGCATTAAGACATTTAGATCCATTTACAGATAAGAATCATTCTTTTTGGGTGGGATGACATATCATCACTGGTTAATTAACCATCAATCTGCAGCAAACATGAATACATATGATCAGGGGCCCATTGTGAGTTAGAGAAATGCAGGGCCCCCCTCGGTATAGTTCTCAGGATGACAGGACTGATAATTTGGTTCTTGAAATGCTGCCTGCCTTAGTCTGTTCGTTTTACATAAAAATGGCTTGTACTAGTTCAAGTTTCGAATTGTACAAGTTTCAAGATTCATCATGAACATGTCAACTAGGCTTATAAGGTTCATATTCAGTTTGACTTAGTGTTTCAGCATCAGATTTTCTCAGTATAATCAGGAAACATGCTCAATTCTAGTTTATCAGTCTTGAAGAATAGTTTTATTGAACTGCCAGATGCAACAGATAAAGCTGGCGAGCCAAACATTATTTACAAAAACGGAAGGTGGGAACCTAAAGACAGAGCAAGGGGGGAAGTTACTACTGCAACTACTGCTAAGACCGGACAGCGCTAATATCACGCAGGGTGTGGAAGATCGCCTTTGACAGCCTCTGGTAAACTGCAAACGGTGGGTGGGATCAGAGATGCCTGGTAAATGAAGGCAGAGCACGGAGATGCAGGCAGCAGGCATGTCTTGACCACGACTGTAGATTTCTCCATGAACGCTTACTTTCTGCGGCGAGCAGCAGCTCCCTTCTTGGAGCTGAATAGCAGACAAAGAAAGAGCGAGTTAGTGGTGCTGACCTTTACTGACCTGCTAATAGAAGAGTGAAAAAAACACCATACAGGACAGGGATCCATTTGTTTTGTTTTTTAATTGTCATTCCTCAAATTTGAGTTCTCAAATCCTAAGCACAACAGCCTATGTGACTGCTATTTTTAGCAACATAGAGCACACCAAATACTATTGTTTCCCAGTTTTCTCAGTCCAGTCCTGCAGGATGTTCCTCTCACTTACTGTGTCCACACAAAGTCTGTCATGCACATGGAAATGAAATCGCGTTCACTCCAAGCAGGACTTACCGCTCTTTGTCTGAGCTCTGTCAGTTTGTTAAACAGGCCTGTCTTAGTCTTAAATGTTTATCACCGCAGCAGCTGATACACATCACATTTTCACCACTCATTACCTCATGTATACCAAACACATTCATCACAGTTCAGAATTGCTGGCACCAATGAAAAATAAGCCAGATCTGGAATAGTGAATAGTACTTTATATTGCCACTTAGGCTACGCTATGTATTGCATGCTGAGCGATATAAGAGTGAGCTTTATTTTTCATTGTATGTAAATCAGTTCAGAAATCAAGTATGTTTACATGCACCGTTGTAATCGAGCTACAATCTTCATCTGTCTGTCCAAGTAGGCTATATATGACACAATGCGTTAGCGAATATTTGAAGGATTCATGTGCCCTTCAAGTGAAGTCGTAAGTCAATTACGAGTTACAAGCACATGAATGACTAAGCAATGTTTTATTTACAAGTGGGGAAACCCAGAATTCTTGATGATACTTGAGTTGCGGAGTTGTGATGTCGGAAGTGGCGTGCCGTGTCGATTTGAAACATGGCAGAAACACTGACCTACAATATAGACCAGGGGTGGCAAACGTCAGTCCTGGAGAGCCGCAGCCCTGCAGAGTTTTGCTTCAACCCTAATCAAACACACCTGAACAAGCTAATCAAGGTCTGAAGGGTTACTAGAAAGCTACAGGCAGGTAGGTTTTAATTAGGGTGGGAGTTTTACTCTGTAGGGCGCCGGCTCTCCAGGACCGGAGTTCGCCACCCCTGATATAGACTGTAAACAGTAGTTCGATTTGTGTATACGTCATTATCTGGATAGTTCAACTTAAAAACCAGACTGGCATGATTTAAGTCAGACTAAAGTGTTTACATGACATTCAAAACAGATGAATAATTACTTTAGTCCGACTGAAATCAAACTTGAGTGCATGTAAACGTAGAGGGGAGCTTGTATGAGGAAACTGCAAAGAGGGTTCACTGTCTGATTAGGGTGGATGAAACTCATACAGCTCTGCAGAAACTCACTCTCAAAGGCGTCACGCTTCACAACGCTACAAAAATGTCCCAAATACTTACCATCTCTACAACAGCTTCAAAACTACAGCCCTATATCAAGTTTTAGGACATGTTTTGTAAAGTCCTGCTGCCAATGACAGATATCCAACTTTTTATCCAATTTGACTGGCAGCTTGTGTGTGACAGTTTCTTTGAGAGTTTTCATGGGGTGTGAAAATGATTAGATAATAAGATTAGAGTAACGTTAGATAGTAATATTAGAGTAAAGGCAGAAGGGCGGTAGTCAGTCCATCTGTGTGCTGTGTGTGGTGGCAAGGAGCTACTCACTGCTTCTGCAATTCATCAATGCGGTTTCTGAGAGAGATGACCTGAAAACAACACATGAGTGTTTTTAAACCTGCCAGATCATACCGTAACCACAGGATCCTGGATTGTGACAGCTGTCCTCTACCATTGAGGGCTGACAAACACACACAAATCATTCTGGATTGATGCTCAGGATTTGCCGACGTCAGGAGCTGGTATAAAGCAGCATTGTGTGGGCATGTCACAGGCATGAGTGTTTTGTGCTGTAGTGGAGAATCCCTCAGCAAGACGGTATTGAGCTTAAACAATCACACACACTTACCTGCAGGAGAAACATCTTGGAATATGTAAGCTCAGAAGCTGACTAACTTCATTTTAACATGAAGCACATCTCTACTGTATAATATCTAGGTTGCTGGAATAGTGGTTTGGTTTAGCTGCTTGTGTGAAAGAGATCAACTTGTTATGAAGGCTCTCACCATAGATTTTTTTTTTAGGAGTGACAGTTCATTTGACCTTTCACCTGTGGTCTGAATCGACCTGTTTCCCAGAAGCCGTGGAGACCAGAGAGTCTCATGCATGCAGACCATGCCGTCATGTCCCTGTTGCTGACCAAAGCCTCAACTTCCTACAGTTCCAGTTACTCACTATTTACTGAGCTCCTCCACTCTCATACGCTGGGTAGTAACCTGCAGAACACCAGAACACAGCTGAGACCCGAACTACCACACACACACACACACACAATCTGAATCACCTGCACAGACACACTCAGACCTGCTCTTACATACATGTGCCATTATGACCGATTTGTTCATGTTCTTTTAATGTCAAGCTGTTACAGTGGTATGCAAATGAGGGAATGCACTATTGCTTTTATACAATATTTAAATAAATTAATATTAAGTTACTTACATTTTAGACACAATATTGCCAGTTACTTAAGGGGTGGTCACAATTACCGTTTCATGAAATATAGTCAACAACCGGAATCCACATGATCAGGAATTTCACATCAAGGTGAAAGATTTTCCCCCATGCAGATTTTGCAGCGGGTTCAAGTTGCTCACTCGAATTCACCGCATTTACCAACAGAAAGCTATTGGATTTAAGGTGAATTCTGTGTGTGCTTTGCTTCATACATCACTATGCTTTTGACAATAGATAATGTGGAATTAAGAGATAATGTTTTTGCCATCAGAATGCCACCAAAATGTTTACTAATGTGACCACATCTTTAATCTTTTTTTTTCCGTTCCTCCAGCAAAAACAAATCCAAAGCAGAATCAACCATCATGTCTCCAAGCATCATACAATAGTGATGTTTTGTTTCTGAATGAATCAGCTTTCTTGAATGAATCGGTTGAATAAATGATTTATAAAGACTTGTCACCACCAACAGCCGTATCGATGTAACCTGCAGAAAGAGTCACTGAAAAATCCCCACCACTAATGCACAAACACAATAAAATTCGAGGACCAGAACTAAATGTTGTACTGTATAAATAATTAACAAGGCATTGACTTTCTTTTTGGCCAGCTGAATGCAGCTGGGTGGACAAATATTATAGTTGTACATAAATTGTGTTTTAACATAATGCTTGTTCACTGAACGGGTAGTTCACCCAAAAATGAAAGTCATCATTTACTCATCATCATGTTATTCCAAAGCTATATGACTGACTTTCTTCTGTGTAGGGCAGAATGTGCATCTCAGACAACTATATACACACAGTGTAAATGAATGGTGATTGAGATGGCCATTCTGTCTAACATCTCTTTTTGTAACAGATTTTCATTTTTAAGTCAACTATCCCTTTAGGTTATAATGTATCCAGGGTGCAGTTGACAAAGTAGTGGATCTCTCCTTGTAAAATAAGTGTAGGCTGTGATGAAACATAAAGTAAAATAAGTTTATAGATGTTGTATTGTGTAAATGGTCATTAGTCAGCTCCCTCACCTCATACTTCTGCCTCTTGAGTTTCTCAATGTGCTGAAATTTCTCAGCCTCCAGTTGGTACAACCAGTCCCACAGCTCTTTAGCTTTCTCCCTGTAAACACACATATATACCAAAACACATTTAGAATACACACACAAACTCTGTTTTGTCAGAACAAGGTGTTTTTCTTTCAGCCTCATTGACTGTAGGCATAGAGTTGTCAGATTTGTGCTCACTTCAGCTTGTCCTCGTTCAGATGGTCAATGTTCAGAGGCTTGCGTCTGTCTGCCAGAATCTTCTTCTTCTTCTCTCTTTCAGTTTGCTTCTTACCTCCCCTCTTTGAATCAGCCTGTTTTTAGCAATATGCAAACAAAACATTTAGGCCTATTTACTTTTCACAGTCATATACAGTACTGTACTCAAAGTGATGATTGACAGAATCAGAGTTGGGGTTGCTAGAAAAACCTTCTGCAGGTAGCTGCTGTACTGGGAGCCCATGCTAGAAAGGGCAGACTTCTTCTTGGCATCTTCATCTGCCCTCTTCTTAACATCAGCCTCCTCCTTCCTCAGCCTCTCTTCCTCACGTCTTGCCTGACGCTCCTTGTCCTTCTCAGCACGGATCCTCTGCTGCTCTGCCCTCTCATTCCTACGTTTCTCCTGCACATACACATAATAAATTTGTCCATTATAATATCCTGATACACTGCGCTTTGGAATATTCGATTCTGAATGCTGTATCATTCTGCTCATCTAGGCCAGTGTTATTTTAGTATTATTTATATACTATTAGCCTATAGTGTTGATTAATATTGAATTTGATTAATATTCAGTTTCATTTTAATTTTAGTAATTTTATGTGCCTTTGTCATTTTTAAATATATATATATATATCTAACTTTGTTTTATTTTTTGTTTCAGTTATAGGTTTACTTGTTTTGATTTATGAAATGAAAATAGAATGAAAATAGTTTATTCGAGTCAAAAGCTTTTCATCTAATTGTTATACTTTATTTTATTTAAGCTTTATTTCAAATAACAAAAATAATTTTATAGCGATATATTTTGTTTCAAAGCAAGACCAGATCCAGGTAAATGAATCTTGCGCGAGAAACTTTAATCTCTCGCAACACACCGTGAGCTCGCTCTCTTTTCCTATAAACGCAAACGGCACATTTTGCGCCTCAGTTATCGATTGTAGTGAAAATGAGCTCTTGTGAGTATTAATATTACTGAAATATTGTTGCAGTGATCGTCTTGTTGATTGGCTAATTGCTTGGTAACACTTTACTTGAAGGGGTGTGCACAGTGTTCGAACTATACCGTGGACTTTGGGGGAGCCCACTTGTTTTTTATAAAGGGGGGGGGGGTGTTCGTGCCTCAAAAGGGGGCTTACAATGAATTACAAAGATACATAACAGCTACAAGTGTATGCACTACTTGCTTTATGCAAGCACTATATAGGATAAATCACTATACAGGATTTACCCTATTATACTTTATCGACACGAAGTGATAGGTGAAACAACAAACAGCCACCCACAAATAGTCTATATACAAAGCATCAGGCTGTCTTTGAGTTCACATGAACAACGGTTAAAGTTACTCG